ACTCTCGGTTCAGGGAACGTCCACTCAAAAACACTGAAACAAACCATCTCAAATAATAAGGTTGCACTACAAATACTTCTAATCCGTTAGTTGGACTGAACAAGTCGTATAATTACAGATCACAGTAGGGGTGTAACGATTCCCTCATGTCACGATTCGATACATATCACAATTCTGAACTCACGATACAATATTATTGCGTTACTCCAAGATATATGATAAAAGATTAACAAAAAATGTGTAGATGGATGCGCAGCACTCTCGGGGATCTTTGAGTTCAATGAAAAATGGGGGCAAAAACAAAAGTGCGTTTATAATTTTGTTCAGGGTATATACATGCATGTGTGTGTATTTATATATACAAAATAATTATACACAGAATACACACATATACTACTGTATTATTTAAACAAACTTTTATTTTATTTTCATTGGCAGTCCCCGATTGTTTACAGTTTAATGGACGATACTCCCATAATTCACGGCAGAGCAAAAACGTGGATAGGCGAAACTATTCAGAACGGATTATTAGTTCGGCATCGTGTTTGATCGCCACCAAGCTGTCGTTGTGACGCACTAGTTTTCACAGGCTCATATTAATAGAGAGATTACATGGAATATTTGTGCATTTAAATATTAATGTGCGACACCACAGGAGAAAACAGCATGTACATGTTAGCTGCTATCTGTATTGCTGTGGTTACATGTGTGTGTGTGTGTGTGAGGGAGCTGAAGGGTGTGGTGGTGACGCTGAGCTCTGATGGACGTCTCCACTGCTCATACATGGGAACCGACCCGTCCTTCTTCACCGCACCGAAAGTGGAGGCCCGAGAGGTGAACTACGAGGAGCTGGACAGCGAGATGAAGAGGCTGCAGAAGCTCATCCGCGAGGCCACCAAAACACAAGGTAGTGTACGCTCCACACACAGACAAAGCTCAGATCGATAAACTCAATGCCTGATCCAAGCAGAGCCTTTATGACCGGGTCAGCATCTTTATATGTGTGTAACCTAAGACTTTAGCAAAATGTAGTAATGTTTTCCACCTTTGAATCAGTCCATGTTTACTGCTAATGTTACCGTGGCCGAGTGGTCCGGAGGAAAAGAGAATATCACAGCAATATTATACCAATATTATCATAACCTAACAATCACAATCGAGTCCAGATTGACACAGTTTGAGGAAAAAAGCCACAGCTGAATATAAGTCACACCACATCTAAATTGTTTTGTTGAGATGGAGCGAAAAACCTTTTTTTTCGCTTTCTTAAACGTTTTTTTCTTGTAAAAATATTCTTCATGTCTTAAAATATCTTGAATGTAACTCGACACCCTCGCCTCATTTAGTATGCGCGGCTCTATGAATATGCAGATGAGCCCCGCCTCCACTCACTCACTCAGCTCAGAGATCCACTGGTTGACGATCACACGTTGATCTGATTAGTTACAAGGTCGTTTGTGACGTCAGAAACACCAGCGATTTCAAACCGTGTTTTTGAGACTGTCTTTGGTTCACTGCAGTTTTAACCCTCTGGGCTTCTTCGGTCAAAAATGACCGAAAACTGTTACGTTTTGAAATGTTTAATTTTTTTGCTTGATCGGATCGGGCTGAAACTTGGTGACTTTTCATGTATTACCTATATGAACACACAAAAAAATCAAGGAGATGATTCTGATTTGTTAAAGGGTCGTAAAAAAAAAAGTCACACTTAGCTTCCTCCCGGTCAAAAATGACAGACATAGGAAATGAATGGGAAATACGAAAAAATAGGAAAACTCAGATAAACTTTTGCTGGTACAAGCTACAGATCAGCAACTGTGCCGAAAAAAAGTGTACAGCAATGAAGGGGTGACACTCTAGAACATCAAGAGTGCAAATAAGATCACCCCACACACACACACACACACACACACGCACACAAACACACACACATACACAGATAAACTGGCAAGACTGCAACAGCAAATTTGTAGAATATGAAAAATAAAATCAATAAATGAGAAAAAAATCTTGCTCAAATGCGCACTCACACCCACACACGCATGCACGCACACACACACACACACACAGAGAGAGAGAGAGAGAGAGAGAGAGAGAGAGAGAGAGAGATTAACTGGTAAGACTGCAACAGCAATTTTTGCATATATTTGAGAATATGCAAAAATTTATAAATAAAAAATACAAAAGACTGTCACTCAAATGCAACACACACACACACACACACACACGCACGCACGCACGCACACACACACACACACACACACACACACACACACACACACACACACACACACACACACACACACACACACACACATAAACTGGCAAGACTACAACAGAATTACAAATAATTACAGTTTGTATGTATATAGTTAAAATAATGTTTATTATTGTTATTATTATTATTATTATTAACATTTTATTTTTTAACCTAGTAAATGATTGTTTGCTGTTATTTATTTTGTTTATTTACGTTCATCACAATTGCTGTTCCCTTCTGAAGTTATTACTACTTATTGAATTAAAATTAATAAAAAATACCAATTTATTGCAAAATGTCTGTATGAAGTGTTTTGAATTATCACTAACCATCCCTTTTTTTGTTAAATTATTTGAATGATCAAATACTGAGTAACAAAAATGTTTGCATTGTGTTCCCTTTCTAACCAAATGCTATAGTTTGATTGTAATCATAACGCAAAACCTAATACTTATCTTAAAAAATTTGTTAAAAAAAATAAATAATTAGTCTTTTAGAATATCTAAATGTATATTTAAATAAAAAAATCGAATAAGATTGAGAAATCATGTCTAAACCAACAAAAAGAATCAAAAAGCCTTTCTATGTATTTATATAGGAAGCTATAGGCAGCCTGCAGGCTGTACAGGACATTGCACACATGTAACTATTTTTAAAGCCACTAGGTGGCGCTCTTCTACTTGAATTTTTTTTTTTTATTAAGCTGACACTCTATTTTGATGTGAAATGTTGTATTTATTGAAAAAAAAATATATATATATAAAATAAAAATATGTATATTAATTCTAATGGAAAAAATAGCTCATAAAAATTATATAATTAATGCAAAGTATCATAAAAAATTCTAAAAATTCTAAATAATAATCAGAAAATATTATAGAACAAAAATATATTTGAATGGTTATCCTGGGAAGAAGTAAAGTTACATTTTAAGGCTTCGTCCGTTTTTGACCGGGAGGAAGCTAAGTGTAACCCATTTACGAAGAAGCCCAGAGGGTTAAGGAGGAAATACTCAGCAATGCTGTCGACTTATGAACTTACACATGGTGTGTCTTAAAGCGTATTAAAAACACCACATAGACACATAAACAACATTAAACGCTGGATTTACACCACAGGGGGACTTTAAGATTGTTCAAATATAATGGTATACAGAAAAAGTAAACATAATTTAAAATAAACATAAATCATAGGGGCATTTATTATATACAGCACTTATAATAAACACCAAGCCTAAACGAATTTAAAGCGAAACTGAAGCCTTTTGTTAAAGTTGAACGTCAGTAACGATAAAAACTGAAACCACAAGATACAACATGTCTGTAGGAAGCAGTCAGTTCTGAACCACAAATAACTGACTGTTGTGTTGACCGATATTACTCATTTACAAAATCTAAAAACATAAAGATAATTAATGATTTCTGTTATCTACAGCGTTTTTCTACTTTACTGCATTAAAGGATGCGAATATAGGGATTAAAAGTGAACAAGAGGATGCAAATATTCATTTGTATGAATCAATACCCTGCAGAAAGACGGAGGCAGAGACGCGAGACGAAACAAACATGGCTTTGAGCTTCACATGTGCACAAACTGCTAAGTGTGTCTGTGTAACTGTAGTCTGGTTGCAGGGCGTTTGATGAGGCTCAGATGTGCTGTAATGTTAGCAGTGCTGGATCTGATCTAGTCTGTGTGCTTTGCATGATTGACGCTAATTGCATTACAATAAGTCAGATTGGAATATAGTCGTCGATCTGAAAGTGTGTTTGTGTGTGATGTTTGTGCAGATATCGTGCCGAGGGCCGAGACAGAAGAAGAGCTCAGTGTGACCGCTGTCGTCTCGTCTCAGCTCGACCAGCTCTCGGTACACACACTATATCACTCTATATGCTAATGCTAATGCCTGCAGGCTACAGCCAGACACACTTCACCACTTACACTGAACACACTATATAACTCGTGTACAGCCTCAGTCTCAGTGTACAGTGTACAGTGTACAGTCTCAGTCTCAGTGCTCAGTCTCAGTGTACAGTCTCAGTCTCAGTGTTCAGTCTCAGTGTACAGTCTCAGTCTCAGTGTACAGTGTACAGTCTCAGTGTACAGCCTCAGTCTCAGTGTACAGCCTCAGTCTCAGTGTACAGTCTCAGTGTACAGCCTCAGTCTCAGTGTACAGCCTCAGTCTCAGTGTACAGTGTACAGTCTCAGTGTACAGTCTCAGTCTCAGTGTACAGCCTCAGTCTCAGAGTACAGCCTCAGTCTCAGTGTACAGTCTCAGTCTCAGTGTACAGTGTACAGTCTCAGTGTACAGCCTCAGTCTCAGTGTACAGTGTACAGTCTCAGTCTCAGTGTACAGCCTCAGTCTCAGAGTACAGCCTCAGTCTCAGTGTACAGTCTCAGTCTCAGTGTACAGTGTACAGTCTCAGTGTACAGCCTCAGTCTCAGTGTACAGTGTACAGTCTCAGTCTCAGTGTACAGCCTCAGTCTCAGAGTACAGCCTCAGTCTCAGTGTACAGTCTCAGTGTACAGTGTACAGTCTCAGTGTACAGTGTACAGTGTACAGTCTCAGTGTACAGCCTCAGTCTCAGTGTACAGTGTACAGTCTCAGTCTCAGTGTACAGCCTCAGTCTCAGAGTACAGTGTACAGTCTCAGTCTCAGTGTACAGTCTCTGTGTACAGTGTACAGTCTCAGTCTCAGTGTACAGTGTACAGTCTCAGTGTACAGCCTCAGTCTCAGTGTACAGCCTCAGTCTCAGTGTACAGCCTCAGTCTCAGTGTACAGTGTACAGTCTCAGTGTACAGCCTCAGTCTCAGTGTACAGTGTACAGTCTCAGTCTCAGTGTACAGTCTCAGTGTACAGTGTACAGTCTCAGTCTCAGTGTACAGTGTACAGTCTCAGTGTACAGCCTCAGTCTCAGTGTACAGCCTCAGTCTCAGTGTACAGCCTCAGTCTCAGTGTACAGCCTCAGTCTCAGTGTACAGTCTCAGTCTCAGTGTACAGCCTCAGTCTCAGAGTACAGCCTCAGTCTCAGTGTACAGTCTCAGTCTCAGTGTACAGTGTACAGTCTCAGTGTACAGCCTCAGTCTCAGTGTACAGTGTACAGTCTCAGTCTCAGTGTACAGTCTCAGTGTACAGTGTACAGTCTCAGTCTCAGTGTACAGTGTACAGTCTCAGTGTACAGCCTCAGTCTCAGTGTACAGCCTCAGTCTCAGTGTACAGCCTCAGTCTCAGTGTACAGTGTACAGTCTCAGTGTACAGTCTCAGTCTCAGTGTACAGCCTCAGTCTCAGAGTACAGCCTCAGTCTCAGTGTACAGTCTCAGTCTCAGTGTACAGTGTACAGTCTCAGTGTACAGCCTCAGTCTCAGTGTACAGTGTACAGTCTCAGTCTCAGTGTACAGCCTCAGTCTCAGAGTACAGCCTCAGTCTCAGTGTACAGTCTCAGTCTCAGTGTACAGTGTACAGTCTCAGTGTACAGCCTCAGTCTCAGTGTACAGTGTACAGTCTCAGTCTCAGTGTACAGCCTCAGTCTCAGAGTACAGCCTCAGTCTCAGTGTACAGTCTCAGTGTACAGTGTACAGTCTCAGTGTACAGTGTACAGTCTCAGTGTACAGCCTCAGTCTCAGTGTACAGTGTACAGTCTCAGTCTCAGTGTACAGCCTCAGTCTCAGAGTACAGCCTCAGTCTCAGTGTACAGTCTCAGTCTCAGTGTACAGTGTACAGTCTCAGTGTACAGCCTCAGTCTCAGTGTACAGCCTCAGTCTCAGTGTACAGCCTCAGTCTCAGTGTACAGCCTCAGTCTCAGTGTACAGTGTACAGTCTCAGTGTACAGCCTCAGTCTCAGTGTACAGTCTCAGTCTCAGTGTACAGTGTACAGTCTCAGTGTACAGCCTCAGTCTCAGTGTACAGTCTCAGTGTACAGCCTCAGTCTCAGTGTACAGTGTACAGTCTCAGTGTACAGTGTACAGTCTCAGTGTACAGCCTCAGTCTCAGTGTACAGCCTCAGTCTCAGTGTACAGTGTACAGTCTCAGTGTACAGCCTTAGTCTCAGTGTACAGTCTCAGTGTACAGCCTCAGTCTCAGTGTACAGTGTACAGCCTCAGTCTCAGTGTACAGTGTACAGTCTCAGTGTACAGCCTCAGTCTCAGTGTACAGTCTCAGTGTACAGTCTCAGTCTTAGTGTACAGTGTACAGTCTCAGTGTTCAGTGTACAGTCTCAGTGTACAGTGTACAGTCTCAGTGTACAGTGTTCAGTCTCAGTCTCAGTGTACAGTCTCAGTGTACAGCCTCAGTCTCAGTGTACAGTCTCAGTGTACAGTGTACAGTCTCAGTGTACAGTCTCAGTCTCAGTGCACAGTGTACAGTCTCAGTCTCAGTGTACAGTCTCAGTCTCAGTGTTCAGTCTCAGTGTACAGTCTCAGTCTCAGTGTACAGTGTACAGTCTCAGTCTCAGTGTTCAGTCTCAGTGTACAGTCTCAGTCTCAGTGTACAGTGTACAGTCTCAGTCTCAGTGTACAGTGTACAGTCTCAGTGTACAGTGTACAGTCTCAGTGTACAGCCTCAGTCTCAGTGTACAGTGTACAGTCTCAGTGTACAGTGTACAGTCTCAGTGTACAGTCTCAGTCTCAGTGCACAGTGTACAGTCTCAGTCTCAGTGTACAGTCTCAGTGTTCAGTCTCAGTGTACAGTCTCAGTCTCAGTGTACAGTGTACAGTCTCAGTGTTCAGTCTCAGTGTACAGTCTCAGTCTCAGTGTACAGTGTACAGTCTCAGTGTACAGTGTACAGTCTCAGTGTACAGTGTACAGTCTCAGTGTACAGTGTTCAGTCTCAGTCTCAGTGTACTGTGTACAGTCTCAGTGTACAGTCTCAGTGTACAGTCTCAGTGTACAGTCTCAGTGCACAGTGTACAGTCTCAGTCTCAGTGTACAGTCTCAGTCTCAGTGTACAGTGTCAGTGTACAGTCTCAGTCTCAGTGTTCAGTCTCAGTGTTCAGTCTCAGTGTACAGTCTCAGTCTCAGTGTACAGTCTCAGTGTACAGTCTCAGTCTCAGTGTTCAGTCTCAGTGTACAGTCTCAGTGTACAGTCTCAGTGCACAGTGTACAGTCTCAGTGTACAGTCTCAGTCTCAGTGTTCAGTCTCAGTGTACAGTCTCAGTGTACAGTCTCAGTGCACAGTGTACAGTCTCAGTGTACAGTCTCAGTGTACAGTCTCAGTCTCAGTGTTCAGTCTCAGTGTACAGTCTCAGTCTCAGTGTTCAGTCTCAGTGCACAGTGTACAGTCTCAGTGTTCAGTCTCAGTGTTCAGTCTCAGTCTCAGTGTTCAGTCTCAGTGCACAGTGTACAGTCTCAGTGTTCAGTCTCAGTGTACAGTCTCAGTCTCAGTGTTCAGTCTCAGTGTACAGTCTCAGTCTCAGTGTACAGTGTACAGTCTCAGTGTACAGTCTCAGTCTCAGTGTACAGCCTCAGTCTCAGAGTACAGCCTCAGTCTCAGTGTACAGTCTCAGTCTCAGTGTACAGTGTACAGTCTCAGTGTACAGCCTCAGTCTCAGTGTACAGTGTACAGTCTCAGTCTCAGTGTACAGCCTCAGTCTCAGAGTACAGCCTCAGTCTCAGTGTACAGTCTCAGTCTCAGTGTACAGTGTACAGTCTCAGTGTACAGCCTCAGTCTCAGTGTACAGTGTACAGTCTCAGTCTCAGTGTACAGCCTCAGTCTCAGAGTACAGCCTCAGTCTCAGTGTACAGTCTCAGTGTACAGTGTACAGTCTCAGTGTACAGTGTACAGTGTACAGTCTCAGTGTACAGCCTCAGTCTCAGTGTACAGTGTACAGTCTCAGTCTCAGTGTACAGCCTCAGTCTCAGAGTACAGTGTACAGTCTCAGTCTCAGTGTACAGTCTCTGTGTACAGTGTACAGTCTCAGTCTCAGTGTACAGTGTACAGTCTCAGTGTACAGCCTCAGTCTCAGTGTACAGCCTCAGTCTCAGTGTACAGCCTCAGTCTCAGTGTACAGTGTACAGTCTCAGTGTACAGCCTCAGTCTCAGTGTACAGTGTACAGTCTCAGTCTCAGTGTACAGTCTCAGTGTACAGTGTACAGTCTCAGTCTCAGTGTACAGTGTACAGTCTCAGTGTACAGCCTCAGTCTCAGTGTACAGCCTCAGTCTCAGTGTACAGCCTCAGTCTCAGTGTACAGCCTCAGTCTCAGTGTACAGTCTCAGTCTCAGTGTACAGCCTCAGTCTCAGAGTACAGCCTCAGTCTCAGTGTACAGTCTCAGTCTCAGTGTACAGTGTACAGTCTCAGTGTACAGCCTCAGTCTCAGTGTACAGTGTACAGTCTCAGTCTCAGTGTACAGTCTCAGTGTACAGTGTACAGTCTCAGTCTCAGTGTACAGTGTACAGTCTCAGTGTACAGCCTCAGTCTCAGTGTACAGCCTCAGTCTCAGTGTACAGCCTCAGTCTCAGTGTACAGTGTACAGTCTCAGTGTACAGTCTCAGTCTCAGTGTACAGCCTCAGTCTCAGAGTACAGCCTCAGTCTCAGTGTACAGTCTCAGTCTCAGTGTACAGTGTACAGTCTCAGTGTACAGCCTCAGTCTCAGTGTACAGTGTACAGTCTCAGTCTCAGTGTACAGCCTCAGTCTCAGAGTACAGCCTCAGTCTCAGTGTACAGTCTCAGTCTCAGTGTACAGTGTACAGTCTCAGTGTACAGCCTCAGTCTCAGTGTACAGTGTACAGTCTCAGTCTCAGTGTACAGCCTCAGTCTCAGAGTACAGCCTCAGTCTCAGTGTACAGTCTCAGTGTACAGTGTACAGTCTCAGTGTACAGTGTACAGTCTCAGTGTACAGCCTCAGTCTCAGTGTACAGTGTACAGTCTCAGTCTCAGTGTACAGCCTCAGTCTCAGAGTACAGCCTCAGTCTCAGTGTACAGTCTCAGTCTCAGTGTACAGTGTACAGTCTCAGTGTACAGCCTCAGTCTCAGTGTACAGCCTCAGTCTCAGTGTACAGCCTCAGTCTCAGTGTACAGTGTACAGTCTCAGTGTACAGCCTCAGTCTCAGTGTACAGTCTCAGTCTCAGTGTACAGTGTACAGTCTCAGTGTACAGCCTCAGTCTCAGTGTACAGTCTCAGTGTACAGCCTCAGTCTCAGTGTACAGTGTACAGTCTCAGTGTACAGTGTACAGTCTCAGTGTACAGCCTCAGTCTCAGTGTACAGCCTCAGTCTCAGTGTACAGTGTACAGTCTCAGTGTACAGCCTTAGTCTCAGTGTACAGTCTCAGTGTACAGCCTCAGTCTCAGTGTACAGTGTACAGCCTCAGTCTCAGTGTACAGTGTACAGTCTCAGTGTACAGCCTCAGTCTCAGTGTACAGTCTCAGTGTACAGTCTCAGTCTTAGTGTACAGTGTACAGTCTCAGTGTTCAGTGTACAGTCTCAGTGTACAGTGTACAGTCTCAGTGTACAGTGTTCAGTCTCAGTCTCAGTGTACAGTCTCAGTGTACAGCCTCAGTCTCAGTGTACAGTCTCAGTGTACAGTGTACAGTCTCAGTGTACAGTCTCAGTCTCAGTGCACAGTGTACAGTCTCAGTCTCAGTGTACAGTCTCAGTCTCAGTGTTCAGTCTCAGTGTACAGTCTCAGTCTCAGTGTACAGTGTACAGTCTCAGTCTCAGTGTTCAGTCTCAGTGTACAGTCTCAGTCTCAGTGTACAGTGTACAGTCTCAGTCTCAGTGTACAGTGTACAGTCTCAGTGTACAGTGTACAGTCTCAGTGTACAGCCTCAGTCTCAGTGTACAGTGTACAGTCTCAGTGTACAGTGTACAGTCTCAGTGTACAGTCTCAGTCTCAGTGCACAGTGTACAGTCTCAGTCTCAGTGTACAGTCTCAGTGTTCAGTCTCAGTGTACAGTCTCAGTCTCAGTGTACAGTGTACAGTCTCAGTGTTCAGTCTCAGTGTACAGTCTCAGTCTCAGTGTACAGTGTACAGTCTCAGTGTACAGTGTACAGTCTCAGTGTACAATGTACAGTCTCAGTGTACAGTGTTCAGTCTCAGTCTCAGTGTACTGTGTACAGTCTCAGTGTACAGTCTCAGTGTACAGTCTCAGTGTACAGTCTCAGTGCACAGTGTACAGTCTCAGTCTCAGTGTACAGTCTCAGTCTCAGTGTACAGTGTCAGTGTACAGTCTCAGTCTCAGTGTTCAGTCTCAGTGTTCAGTCTCAGTGTACAGTCTCAGTCTCAGTGTACAGTCTCAGTGTACAGTCTCAGTGTACAGTCTCAGTCTCAGTGTTCAGTCTCAGTGTACAGTCTCAGTGTACAGTCTCAGTGCACAGTGTACAGTCTCAGTGTACAGTCTCAGTGTACAGTCTCAGTCTCAGTGTTCAGTCTCAGTGTACAGTCTCAGTCTCAGTGTTCAGTCTCAGTGCACAGTGTACAGTCTCAGTGTTCAGTCTGTGTTCAGTCTCAGTCTCAGTGTTCAGTCTCAGTGCACAGTGTACAGTCTCAGTGTTCAGTCTCAGTGTACAGTCTCAGTGTTCAGTCTCAGTCTCAGTGTTCAGTCTCAGTGTACAGTCTCAGTCTCAGTGTTCAGTCTCAGTGCACAGTGTACAGTCTCAGTGTTCAGTCTCAGTGCACAGTGTACAGTGTTCAGTCTCAGTCTCAGTGTTCAGTCTCAGTCTCAGTGTACAGTCTCAGTCTCAGTGTTCAGTCTCAGTGCACAGTGTACAGTCTCAGTATGCAGTGCGCACACTTCCTGCAGTGTACTTGAGTTGTGCTAATGCTAATGCTCTCTTCTCTCCCCAGTGCGCGCTGATAGCGGAGATGAGCGGCCTGCCGGTCCCGTCCGTCTCCGTCCAGGTGAGCACCAGCTCTTCTGCTGTAGATCTGACCTCTGACCTCTTCAGGCACACATCACATCCTCTGTCCCGCCAGCTCACACTCACTCCAGACACCACTGGAGTCAGACGTCTGCGTTTACATTCACTCCCGCCCAAAATGATTTTCAGTGATGGTTTTACTCTCCACATGGCAGACCCTGGTTTTGAATGGCCCTGCTATATGACACCTTCATAATCATAACAGGACACAGGACACATGTCATGAATATGAAGGAGGGTTTATGCATGTTTATGACAACTGTTATCAAGTGTCATTCGCTCAATTATGAGATTTTTAATGCAAATATGACATTGTTTGAGATGTCTTGGTTATGACAACTTGACATTACGAAGACATCACAACCTGTCATAAATGTGTCATAAACATGACATAGCAGATTAATTATCAAACTTAAGAAAGGACTTAGCTTTATGGGTGAACATTACATTCAACTGTCATGTGGTTGGTTTTGACATTGGCTGTCATGAGGCGAAAAAATCGGATCTTGTGTGTGTGCTTCAATCTCGGGTGATGATAAAGAGTGTGTGTGTGTGTGTGTGTGTGTGTGTGTGTGTGTGTGTGTGTGTGTGTGTGTGTGTGTGTGTGTGCGCTTCTCTCTCAGGTGAGGATAAAGAGCCGTTCTGCGGTGGCGAGCCCGAAGATGACGGTGTGTGTTCAGCCTCCTCTGGCCGTCACACAGGACCAGTTCGTGCTGGACTCTATGGGTATGACCTTCCTTCTTCCTGATACTGTCACACACACACACACACACACACACACACACACACACACACACACACACACACACACACACACACACACATACACATCGATAAAAATTATCGATTTTTCTTTTATGCCAAAACTCATTAGGATATTAAGTAAAGATCATGTTCCATGAAGATATTTTATAAATCTCCTACTATAAATATACACAATCGCACACACAAATGCACAACTTTAAAGGAGATTTTCTCAATGTATAATTTTTTTTTTCTAATAGTTGTATCTCAGCCAAATATCCTATCCTAACAAACCACACATCAATGGAAAGCTTATTTATTCAGCTTCCAGATGATGTATAAATCTTTAAATCCAGTTTCAGAAAATGGACCCATGTGACTGGTGTTGTGGTCCGGGGTCACAGATGTGGAATTGCGCTCTCACGCTAATGCCCGGTTTAGTAAATCTGGCCCTTACTCTTTAGGAGTAGGAGAAAAAACTAATTTTATTATGGTATTGTGATATTATTTCAATACCAAATGTCAAAATCTTGCTGGTGCTCATGAAAGGAAGTAGATGTAGATGTATCACTTGGACTATTTTAACGATGTCTTTCATGACTTTTGGGCCGGCAGGTTTCAATCCCTTAGAAGCCTATGGAGGAGTAGTCAGACTTCGTACTTCCGCTCTATTTCAGTTCGCTTCTGAACTCAGTCTGAGACATCGACATGTCTCTCAGTTTCCTCCGGCATGAAAACAGCCGGCCAATCAACGAACAGAGGGCGGGCTGAGAGCCGTGACGTAGACGCTAAGCGCCGAGTTTAAGATTGGGGAAATCGAAAACGACCGCGGATATGGAGACACCGGATGCAATTCGCCCTGTTGTGGAGAATATTCCTGGCATTTGCAAACTGAAGCCCGAACAAGAAGAGTGTTTGGTAAACATTTTGAATGGAGGTGATGTTGTGGCCCTACTCCCGACAGGTTTTGGGAAAAGTTTAATTTATCAACTATTACCGATCGTCAGTGAGAAACTGGGCAGGGAAAAGGCCGGTAAGGCGGTAGTTGTGATTGCGTCCCCCTTGGCTGCACTCATGGAGGATCCGGTTAAGCGGCAGCAACCTCGGCTCATGTTCACGCCGGTATTTCGCTCGATGGTTTTGTTTTCGCATCATACATGTGTTTACAGTGGAAGTTCGATGCGGCTGAGCTGGCGAATAACACGCGTCATAACCAAACGTTATGTGATTGGCTTACGGGTAACCAATGAATTTATACTTCAGACAAGCGCCCCCCCCCCCCCCCCCGCGATAAAGAAAACACTTTTCAATTATGCCATGCCAGACTCTCTTTACGAAGCAAAGGGAAGTAGCAGAGTTTGGCATTACCAGGCTAATGGAGGAGTGATCCAGCTCTCAGATTTAATAAAAAATATCTTGATTTGTGTTCAGAAGAAGTCTTACGGGGTTGAACAACATGAGGGAGAGTAATTACTGCTGTTATAGCAGGTGTCGTACTTCTAGCACACGATGACATGAACTGTTGCACCGCTCGCAGACTTTGGAAAAGAGCTTATGAGTTTGATAGAGGTGTGATTTAAAAAGATTGTGATAGAATGAAAGAACAGCAGCTGAATTGAGTAAATCACCACTGCTCGTGTGTGTGTGTGTGTGTGTGTGTGTGTGTGTGTGTGTGTGTGTGTGTGTGTGTGTGTGTGTGTGTGTGTGTGTGTGTGTCTCTCCGATCAGCAGGACGTGTCTGTCGAGTGGTCAGATCAGCTGTGATTGACGGGTCACACCACCTTTGACATCATCAGCTGTGATTGACAGGTCAGATCACCTTTGACCTCATCAGCTGTGATTGACGGGTCACACCACCTTTGACATCATCAGCTGTGATTGACAGGTCAGATCACCTTTGACCTCATCAGCTGTGATTGACAGGTCAGATCACATTTGACCTCATCAGCTGTGAGTGACAGGTCAGATCTCCTTTGACCTCATCAGCTGTGATTGACAGGTCAGATCTCCTTTGACCTCATCAGCTGTGATTGACAGGTCAGATCACCTTTGACCTCATCAGCTGTGATTGACAGGTCAGATCTCCTTTGACCTCATCAGCTGTGAGTGACAGGTCAGATCACCTTTGACCTCATCAGCTGTGATTGACAGGTCAGATCTCCTTTGACCTCATCAGCTGTGATTGACAGGTCACATCACCTTTGACCTCATCAGCTGTGATTGACAGGTCAGATCTCCTTTGACCTCATCAGCTGTGAGTGACAGGTCAGATCACCTTTGACCTCATCAGCTGTGATTGACAGGTCAGATCTCCTTTGACCTCATCAGCTGTGAGTGACAGGTCAGATCACCTTTGACCTCATCAGCTGTGAGTGACAGGTCAGATCACCTTTGACCTCATCAGCTGTGATTGACAGGTCAGATCACCTTTGACATCATCAGCTGTAATTGACAGGTCACATCACCTTTGACCTCATCAGCTGTGATTGACAGGTCAGATCACCTTTGACCTCATCAGCTGTGAGTGACAGGTCAGATCACCTTTGACCTCATCAGCTGTGATTGACAGGTCACTTCCAGTCCACTTTTAGACATGCACTTGCAAACTTCCCTAAGCACTTCCTCTCGGGGGAATCCCTGCCGCCATTTTTTCATAGTATTTTATTTCTAATAATTTCTGCAAAATAAAGGCACTGAGCGAATGAAGACGGGGAATGGGAGCTCGTGTGCATCTCAGCGCTGTCAAAATAAAAGTCTTGCTTCAGACACTAAAGAAAAACTCATCGACCAACGCCCATAATTATGAAATGGTAGATATAGGCTGATATATCTGCCGACCACTTATAAATTATATATATTATTTGACCACATATATACTTGTGTTGGGCAACGATTAATCGCATCCAAAATAAAAGTTTGTGTTTACAAAATATATGTGCGTGTGTGTGTAATGTGTATAATTATTTTGAATATAAATGCACACAAATGCATATATAATTAAGAAATATTTGCATGTATATACTGAATATATTTATACATAATTTATAAATTTATAAATATTTTATATATAAATAACACATTTTTCTTAAATGTATACATGCATGTATGTGTATTTATATATACAAAATAATTATACACAGCACACACACACATATAGTGTGAAAACACAAACTTTTATTGTGGATGCGATTGATCGAGCGCTGGTATTGCTGAGGTGTTTGGACAGAGGTATGAGCGTGACCCAGATCACCAGTAGACGTGTAAGTGCTGAGATGGCAGGACTCAATGCTGCCCTAAAGGTCACACACACCCCTGTAATCCTCACAGCACACTCACGCTGCTTTTGTCCAGGGAATTCCTGTCTAAGTGCTTCTGTGCTGTGTGTGTTCTGTGTGTAATGCGTGTGCTGGATTCCAGCGCTGGGCTACTGTCAGCGCAGGTCAAGAGAGGTCAGCACAAATGGCCCTAGTTTAACCACTTACATGCCAGACCGGTTTAAAGAGGGGTGTCACGCTTTCTGCCGGCTCAAACGACCCGCCGGGCTAGTGTTTGCCCACGGCACTGAGAGAGAGAGAGAGAGAGAGAGAGAGAGAGAGCTTTTAAAGCACATGGAAAGTGCTGTCGCCCGATGAGCTGATATGAGCTCAGAGAGAGTGTGTGTGAGTGACAGTCAGACGCTTGTGTGTGTGTGTGTGTGTGTGTGTGTGTGTGTGTGTGTGTGTGCAGGTGGGCCAGACACTTAATCTAAGTGCTCAGCAATCAGGCATTACTGCGGTTCAGTCACCTGTGTGAACACACACAACACTACACATGAAGCAGATCACCTTACTAAAGACCACACAAACCCACTCAACTGACGAGAAGTCACTGTTATCCACTGACTCCAGTGCATTTTAAAAGGGACATATCATGGAAATCTGAGTTTCTCCGTGTGTAAGTGCTATAATCGGGTCCCGGTGCTTCGACCAACCCAGAACACGTGAAAAGTGAAACCCAGTAACTGTGTTCTGGTGGGCCTTTCTCTGAGAGCATGTCAAACAATAAGCCGATCAGATTTCGCTCTCCTTCTGATGTATGAAGAGGATCTTATTACAATATTACCGGCCCTTAATCTGCACGTTTATAATGTTACCGGCCCTTAATCTGCACGTTTATAATGTTACCGGCCCTTAATCTGCTCGTTTATAATGTTACCGGCTCTTAATCTGCACGTTTATAATATTACCGGCTTTTAATCTGCTCGTTTATAATGTTACCGGCCCTTAATCTGCTCGTTTATAATATTACCGGCCCTTAATCTGCTCGTTTATAATGTTACCGGCCCTTAATCTGCTCGTTTATAATATTACCGGCCCTTAATCTGCTCGTTTATAATGTTACCGGCCCTTAATCTGCACGTTTATAATGTTACCGGCCCTTAATCTGCTCGTTTATAATAATACCGGCCCTTAATCTGCACGTTTATAATATTACCGGCCCTTAATCTGCACGTTTATAATGTTACCGGCCCTTAATCTGCTCGTTTATAATATTACCGGCCCTTAATCTGCACGTTTATAATATTACCGGCCCTTAATCTGCACGTTTATAATATTACCGGCCCTTAATCTGCACGTTTATAATGTTACCGGCCCTTAATCTGCTCGTTTATAATATTACCGGCCCTTAATCTGCACGTTTATAATGTTACCGGCCCTTAATCTGCACGTTTATAATGTTACCGGCCCTTAATCTGCACGTTTATAATGTTACCGGCCCTTAATCTGCACGTTTATAATGTTACCGGCCCTTAATCTGCACGTTTATAATGTTACCGGCCCTTAATCTGCACGTTTATAATGTTACCGGCCCTTAATCTGCTCGTTTATAATATTACCGGCTCTTAATCTGCTCGTTTATAATATTACCGGCCCTTAATCTGCTCGCTTATAATATTACCGGCCCTTAATCTGCTCGTTTATAATGTTACCGGCCCTTAACTG